CTGCAAGAAGTTGTTTTATGTTTGCCACTGCTAGCTTCACATAGCATGGTGAAAGTGCCTTGAGGCAAGGGAAGCTGCCAAAAGATGATGGGCATCGGCCTGTGTACCTATGAGTCATCCGTGAAGGCCCTTCCGGCCGTGATGACCCAGGCGGGCTTGTAGTGGTTGTAGGATGTTTGAGAAACCTTGCAGACCTAGTATGTAAGATCTTTGAAGTGCCCAGAGCAGGCTGTGCTGACAGCATGCTTTTTCTGCTGTGTGGCAGGTGGCCGTTGCGACCAACCCCACTCATTATGGCAACCCTTCGAGTGGCTGCGAGTCCGATGAGGTCGCCGTTCGCGTCAGCGGCATTTCGGGCGACTTCTGCAGTCCCAAGTGCACCAGCCAGGGCACCTGTCCAAAGGAGCATTGGCTATTTGGAGGGAGGTTTTTTTGTTGGGATAAGCCCGTTGAACGGCTATCGACGTCAGGACATGCCCAAGGGCGACACTGCTGTTCCAGAGTGCGCTCTGCGAACAACCACCGGGGACAAGTACTGCGGCCTGATCTGCAGATCCGACTCTGACTGCGGTCATGTCCTCAGCAAGTCTTTGGCACTTCCTGTTTTGATGATTTTTTTCCTGACGTTTATCATATCAGCTTCTGCCTCCCACCACCGCGGCCATCTGTCAAGTAATGCACATTACATGACTGCGATCTTTTTCTGATGCATGTTTAGCTCCGTACATACTTTGCATCTTTTGCACATCTGCTTTTTGGTTGCCACTCTTTTGTTGCACATTGTATGTGTTATGTCCTTACCCTTAGTGCCATTTCTGTTCAGCAGGTGGTCGGCTTTACCAGCATGTGTTGTGATTGCACCATTCCCAGTAAAGGCTAGGGAGACGGAAAGGCTGGAACTCGCCGGGCATGGCCATTTTCTATGCTTGGCCAGCGCAGTCAAGTTCAGAGAGAACGCAAACGTAAAGCATACCATGCCATGATCCCTTACATTGGCCGTGTTCTCGGGTACGTAGTCAATCCATCTTCTGGGTGCCAGCCCCAGTGGTCGGCGGGCATTAAGAACCTGTACCATACCAAAAGCCATCAGTCATGCAGAGCTCCCAGAGTGGGTAGGCGGAGTATGCTCCAGATTGCTGGTGCCTGTAAACCACGGTTCAGGGCTACTTCATGTACAGCCGCAACCACAGTATGAGTCATGCAGCTGCAAGCACAGCAGCAATCACATCGCTTCGTGAGAATCATCAAGCTGGTCTTGATGGCAAGAATGGCAAAAGCACGTTTACAAGGGCAGAAGCGGTGATGGCATGAGCAGCCTCAGGCTCACGGTCGAGGATTCTAGGCAGCTTATCAGGGTTTCAGCGGAGCTCTCGTTTAAGCTGTGTTAGCAGCAGCTGGGATTCGAAAGGTAAAGTCTTGAACCATCATCACCTTTAGAAAGCCTCAGTCTAAACCCCTTTTGAACTCGGACCCCAAGCCCAACAAATGCTTCAGTCCAGCGTCTTGAGGCACTGGCTCCTGTCAGATGAGCTTGGGAGTCGGCTTGTGCAGCTTCGTCTGCAAGAATCGCATGTGGGGTAGTGCGGGGTAGGGTAGCATGGGGTAGTGCCGGGGTAGTGGGAGTGAGGACTCTTCCTGAAACAGGGCAGTTCTTTGAGAGAGTTGTCCCTGATAAAGAAGCAGCAGTGGGTATGAATCCAAATGCCAAGGCACTTACGCCGCCACGGCTGCAGCGCGTCCGCTGCAACTTCTTCCTGCCGAGGCAGCCGCCGGGACACACAGACTGCTTTGGAGGGATGTATTCTTTGTGCTTGAGGGTTTGCGGGCTAAGTTGGGAGGGATGCTCTCCAAGCAAAGTCTGGTCGCTCCAGATTTAACGCAAGTTCGGCCGTGGATTTCATTTTTTGTTGGAACCTTTGCAGGCTTCTTCAGCATATCCGCTCCTGCAATTAATTGCGTTTGTAAACCAGGCAGAGGTGTACGAAATGGCCAGAACACAAATCGCATGCAAACTTGGGGCCTTGGAGCGCCACTTCATGTTTGCTTCTTTGCGCTGCAGGCGGCACAGCTTATCGTCTAAGCACGTTTGGGAGCACCGCAGATGCCTCAGAAACTCAGGGCTAGGGTTCAGGGTTCAGGGTTTCGGGTTTAGCGTTTCGGTTTTAGGGTTTAGGGATTAGGGTTTAGGGATTAGGGATTCGGGTCTAGGGTTAAGGGTGTAGGTGGGTCAGAGCAAGTGCGCTGTTCCTTGGTCCTCACGGCTTCCAGTATTTTGTCTGAAGGATGGGGAGTAGTGATGTGATGTTTAGTCTTTCTGGTTCTTAGTAGGGAATAAGGGACTATATGATAAGTTCCCTTATTCCCTGCTATAACCCCATTATACACCCCATTAGAAAAGTTGCAGTTTTGATTGTCTTTTCCATTATCCCTATAGGGATTATATTCCCTGATCCCCTACTGAGAACCAGTAAGGTAGTTCGGTTTGTAACTTGACTCCCGTTGCAAATGTTATCCACCAACAGCTGATCAACCACAGATTCTGCATTTCCAGCCCAAATCGAATGTTAGGTAATGATTACTAGTATTATTTTTGTTGCTACTATTACTATTATTTTTAAGATTGTCATTACACTTACTATTCTTTGTATTAACAGAACTATTATTCGTATTAGTACTGCTGATCAGAATTTTGACTTGTGAGTCTGTCCACACCTCATCCGCGCCAGCATGAAGTATACTGTACACTCTATACTCACCGACTCGCAAGTCCGACAACCAGCATACATCGGGATCCAACCTGCAGCCATGGTACCACTCGTCGCCGTCGATCTTCAATGATTTGGTAACTGTAATTTCTCAAAAGGATCACGGCATGAATCCATAAAGTTCTCCATCAACCTGTTAAGAATGTCCGTCTCAAGTGGACTAGACTCGCACGCCACTGAGGTGAGCTTCTTCTCTGCCGGGTGCTGGGCGCCCGCGCAAGTCTTCTTTCGCGTGGAGATTAGGGAAAGGGGTCGCCCTGTCATGGGACAGTCATCAACATCAACACTCCAAATACGGTAGGAGCCACTATAGTAACATTGAGAATGCTCGCGGCCAATGCTTGAAGCATTAATCATGCTGCTTGCAGCTGCTCTGCTTGCTACTGCTCCTAAAGCTGATTCCGCTGATGCTGCAACTGCTGATACTGTTGCCTGCTGTGCCATACCTTCTCCCGCTACTTTGCCTTCAACCACCCTAACCACCCTCTCACCAGACCGGAAAGCTTCCATCCCAAAGAGACCCAGACGCAGCTACAGGTATACGGCACAGTCAATCCTTGGTTAAGAGTGCACAGCGCCAGGTCCCGCGAAAGACAGGGTTTACTGTCATTGCAGAGGTTCTGGAGGATCCAAATCTGAGACCCTTGCAATCAACATCCAGCCATTGGCACAAGCCCTTTTCTTTTGGAGCCTCCAGCACCTTGGAAACTGAAGCTCTGCGAGAGAGTGGCGCATTTGAAGGCAAGCCAACAAAGTGAGGTAGGCAGTGAAGTCCCTGATATAACCCCAATATAACCCTAATATAACCCAATATAACCCTAATATAACCTCAATATAACCCTAATATAACCTTAATATAACCCCAATATACCCTAATATCACCCCAATATAACCCCTTTGAACGAGCTGAAAGGAAAGGGTCATGCACAAGCACATTTGAGGGTAGGCCACTACTTTGCCAGGGAAGGGGCCCCAGTCAGCACCATCATGGCCCCTTTTCCTGGAATTCAGCTACCCTAACCAAAGAGACAGAGAAAGAATGGGATGGCTTTGCTTCTATATGAGCTATAGTCTAAACTCCTTAAGGGGGGTTATATAGGGATTATATAGGGGACTACTATAAGGGTTATTAAGGGGGATACTAGGAGTTTCGACAGACCCACGGAGGACACCAGTGCAGAGCCACCAATTACCAAGCCTAGACTTGCTCCTGCTGAGGTAGTTGTTAAATCCAGTGGTAGGGTATGGCCTCCGCCTACCCCGCCCCGGGCTCCTCGCCCCAGTTCCTCCCATGTCGTCTCTGATGAAGAGATTGCTCTTCCTGCAGCTAGTGCCCCCAAGCCAGCAGCTAGTCCAAAGCCTACTGCTGCGCCGCCAGCAATCCCTAGAGTTCTCAACCTCGACGAGGATGAAGATCAAAATGATGCTCTCAACCCAATGGATCCGGCTGATGCAACTGATCTCCCTGCTGCTAGTAACCCCACCCCGGCTGCCAGCCCGAAGCCAAGTGCCGCGCCACCCGTGCTGCCCCAAGCTATCGACCTTGAAGAGGACGAAGCTTCACAAGGCAACGTTGTGGATGCCATCGAGACTCCAGAGGAACCCGAGTACAACATTCTTGTTGTCAGTGAAGGCATCCGCTACAGAGACAATCATGTCTACCCCTTCCAGGGGCATCAGGTGTGGTGTGATCTACGTGATGTAGCGAACCCTGAACGCGATCGGCGCCTTCAGGCGCATTTAGGCTACCATCCATTGAACATCCAGAGCCTCATGGTCAACGAGACTTTCATGCGCAAGCTGTTTGATGCCATGAGAGAAGCCCTGGTGAATAGGGTAAGCAAAATCCGCTTTGTCTGTCATTCTGGCAGACATCGCAGTGTAGCTGCCGCTTACCTAGCTCACCTTATCCTTGCGGGTATTGTTGGGAATGATAGAATTGCTGTGCAACACGCCTCCAGCGGGCATTGGCACAACGTATGCCATCTACAATGTAGTCAATGCTGGAACTTTGTTCACCATCCCCCTGTACAGTTTCACCGAGCCCTTGCAGAGATTCGACGTGACCTGCAGCAGCAGTGCCAGCCACACATGCTTGATGCTTGTGACGCACGCAGATCCATGTGCTTCAAGCCCAGCTGGGGAGTGGCTTGTCAACACACTTGCATTGGCAAACCTTCCTCTGCTAAGATATCTGGTGTGACAGGTGGCAGCAGCAGCGGTGTGGATGCTCCAGGTAATGACCGGCATCATCAGTATGAGTTTTTGTTTGTCAAAAATCAGCAAAATGAGCAATTTTACCCAAGCACTGCAATACAGGCAATTTTTGAGAAAGCAAGTTTAGATATATCTCATTTTCAGCAGCTTCCAAGACAAGTTCCCAACCTCCGTCATTGTAGTCAAAAATCTGGAATTGGATGCCCAGACGTTGTTGACGCTCAGGTCCTTGCAACTTATCGCCCTGACAATCGAGTAGTGGGTCTCGGTTCACTTCTTTTATTTGTTATTGCAATTTCCCTTAATACCATTGTGATGGTCCACCCCCATGGTCCTAACTTCTGCCCTCCACTGTACTTTGACCCTAAATACTTTCTGCCTGGTAAGGAAGAACCACGACATCGTCTGGACAACTTCCCTGGTGTTGTCCAACAAAACGGCTGTGCGGAAGCTGGTTCACAAATTTTGGATGCACTTCTACAGCTTGAGCATATTCAGATTCAAGGTGGTCATAGTGATTCAGATGTTAGCCAATTTAGGGATCACTCTCCTTTCAATGACGTGCCCCCTTATGATGGAAATCCTGAC